TTACATCGTTTTTGGGTGTAACCTGTCTTGACTGCATTTGTTACGTTCTCCACTATCACATTTCAAGCAGCCCATATCCCTCGCGTAATTCCATATATTAGTCAAGGTATTAATAAATAAAGAAAATGGCTGCATGTTTGGTCATTCTGCCAAGCGCGTTCAGATGCGATAGTTTTATAGGATGGGTGGTGCCCTAAGTTTGGGTGGTGCCTAGGCAGGGTGACCCTCAGTCTTTCAGTGCCTGTGGCGGGTGGTGCTCTCAGGTCAGGTGGTGCGTGGGGCGGGGTTTTATGTGGAAACAGATTGCGTCACACTCAGACCATTGCCTCTCTGCGACGCTGCGCGCGTTAGAGTTCCTGTATAGCTACCTACGGTAGCAGAGTTGCGCATTCAGCCTCGGCGGGTGGCCGTAGCGCCGGCTTTCCCGCACGCCCTGGATGCTTTGCTCCTCACGTGACTAAACTTGGCGAATAGCGGCGCTGCGCTGGCTGCGCGCGCCGCCGCGCATGGAAAACAGGGGAGGAGGAGAAGGAGGGCGAAAGCAGGGGAAGATACGCCGGGGCGCGAGCAACGTCGGCGGAGCGACCGTAAAGGTGGCTTTCTTGCACGCCACCGGATGCTTTGCTCCTCACGTGATGGATCTCGGCGAATAGCGGCGTGGCGGCGCGGGGAAAACAAATGCGCAACTCTGGCTCCCCCTTTCCTTCAGCGCCACCGAGAGGCGAAAGCGCGTTTTCCAGCCCTTTCCACTTCTCGTTCCACGCTCTTTTTTGTACACCACCTGTTTCTGCTCCTCTCTTTCTTGTCCCTTTCCACCCTTCTCTGCTCCGCGCGCTTTCTCACACCACCTGCTTCTGCCAGGGACGGATTTACGGGTGAGGCTGGGGGATCTGCAAGGAGATGACATTACGGACGAAACGTTGCTCAGATTTGTTTTGTTGACTTAAGATTTGTTATGTCACGAAGAACTAATCAGTTCTTCCTCCCGTTCCTGCGTGCTCTGTCCGTAGCTCAGACACGCGCCCTGTGCGACTGTATTTTATAGAATTTATCAGCGCACTGCAACCTGAGTACGCCACGCTGGAATGCCCGCCCGATTGGCTGCATGTGCTGGACGATCTTGCTGACGTGAAGGAATTTTAAACTTCATGCACGCGCATAGTTTGTCGTGCATGCGATTATATCGTCGTAATCTATTTGTAAAATCTGTCGAAACAGGCAAGAATAAAAACATAGAAATAAAGTCCGTAGCCTAGTTAGCAGCGCACTTGGCTTCCACGCCGGTGACCGAGGTTCATTCCCTTGCACCAATTGCTGTATTATTATTTTCTTTTTTTTTAAGATTGCTTAGCGGTTACGGATTGACAGACCAACACACTTCGTGCTAACGCGGCTCCTGCGTATTCCGCTTTAATAATAAACAAATACATATTTCTCCGTTTGTTTGGGCGGGCTGGTGAGCTCCGTTGAGTGCGCTTCTCCTCGGTCACAGGTGCACTGCAGAGAAGCGATACCCGCGGAGCGGACACCGCGGTACCGCGTATCTCGCTTGCCTTTACAACTACTTCCCGAATTTGCGTTCGACTGCGTTACGATCGCTTGTGACGGCTTACGACGAGAGAACACACTGGCGCCATCTATCGGGTCACCCTAGAACACTTTATAGCCTTTTCGCCAAGCGTTGCTTCCCGCACAGCATTAGTGTACTGCGGGGAAGTGACAGACGGAGCTGTCTCGCGAGCGTCTCGTGATCTACGAAGCGTAGCGCACTTGGCGTTCACCGCGTCGCGCGTGGCCGCTCGCGCATCTCTCGTCGCGTCGGCTCGTTGTCGGCTCTCTTCGCGTAATTGGAGTGAAACCTACGCCAAAAACCACATAAACAGCTTTATTTTCGCAGGCTCCATACTTAGCGAATTTCAAGAATTTAGCCTTTTTGAAATATTCCGCGGGCACGGAATTTTCCGATTGGCAGTGGTACACAGTTATGTGTTGGATACCATGATAATGTGTATTCGCACGATCAATTTTTAGCGATATATTTTTTATCGCGACTTTCGCGAAAATATGTCATTTGTACTCCTGAAACCTCGAGCCCCCAGCAATGAAAAACGAAAGAAGCTTCTAAATAATGTGATTTGTACATAACTCAAACCACTCGTACGGTAATGATAATCTTAATTAATCCTGCGTCTATCTGCTGCTGACAAATCCTCGTTGTTTTTTTTTGTTTTTTTTTTTTTGGCGGGGGTAGGTTGTTTTTTCTTTTTTGCTGCAGTGCAGTTTTGCATATGTAAATAATGGCATATATAGATTTAGCAAATATAACTGCATAAGTAGAATTCCGATAAAAATGCAAATTTAAAATCTACGCTAATATTAAGCTATACTGGTAAATTCTAGAAAGATTTGGAGCATCTGGGAAGTGTGGTGGTGTGCAAAAAGCACAGGGATGTGATTGCTGTGCAAAAGTGCTTACCCTGCTACATCTTGCTACATTTCGCCAAAATATGATGAACTTGCCCCTGTATTGTGCCAAAGCGTAATTTCACCTTATTAGTAAAAAACTTGGATGATACTTAAGCTTTGCCTTCAAGAGTGGAACGCGGGCCCCGTTCGCATCGCCTTCTTATTCGCTTCTCATGCCCTTCCTGCCAGCGAGCAGGAAGTGCGGCGGACATGGCCTAGTCAGCAGCGTGTCTGGCTTGCAACCGTGGGTTTGAATCCGGCCTAAAAATCCTAAAATTATTGCTTAAGGCAAATGAATTACTTTATAAAGTGATATCATTTGAGACCTTTAGTTCGCATTATGTGTCATGTTTTTTCAATCGCTTCCATTCCACGTGTGACGTCACGTTTCACGTGAGCATTGTGGGTTGTTTGAAATTCCTGCGCAAGGTCACGTGGCTGTGATGTCGTGACCCCATCGACCGATCAGGATTTTCCCGTCGCAACGCCAGCAACGCCGGCTTTTCTGTGACCCGAGCTCCTTAACGCTACACGTTAATAGCTGAGGACCCACCGCACGGTTGAATCGTTAGGTAGACTTGTGCAAATTTTCAGAACCTTCGATGATCACCTCAAATAACGTTTCACATACCGCTTAATTTTAACTCCGCGTCAAACACTGACAGTACTCGGAAGTCTTGCAATATTTCTCGTGTTCGTGGTCTGTTGTGGTAGGTCTCGCTGTGGTACTCGCTGTGAAGCGAGTACCGCACGGTAGGCATCGCAATTTTGTGTATCTTGCTTTGCCGCAGCACCTAACGGAACTGCACTCCTCCCGAATGGGATGTTGCACATGCAAGCCTCGCGTATGTTAAAAAAAAGAAGAAAGTATTTAGTGAGTGGAGGTGTAACAACCCTTCCGTTTCAATAAAATGTTTGATTACAAAGCCTGGTTCACACGGTGAGATTTTACGTGCAATTTTGCAGGTGCGACATCACTCGTGCGGCAAAAAAAGCGTGGCAGAAGCTGTGGTGCTGAACGGCACAGCTGTGGAATTGCAAACAAAATCACACTATTTGTACCGAATTGCATTATGGGGGAAAGTCTGCTACATCTTGAGCCAAAATGACGTTTTCGCTATCAATTGCGCCACACCTGCGCCGAGGTGCGCTTTAACGAAGAAAACTCTTAAAATATTTTATTGGTGGCCAATTCTAATATTCAGTGAAGTAAGAGGAAAGGAAGATGGTACAAATATGCATTTCTCTACTCACTCTGTTTCATCTTAGGTCGGAGCACAGTGGAAAGCTCGAACTCATAAACTGTGAACACACATACTAAAGGCACAAGTCACTGGGCATTCGCTGCGCTTAATTGATATGGCCGATGAAAGAACAGGTACAGAAAGATTACGAATGCCATGATGTCACACTTTAGTGCTGTTTGGTTGGTCCCACTGGCTCGTAGCGTCAGCTGCACTTTGATTTAAGATGAAGCGAAGGATAGAGACTGATCGTCAAATCGCGCTGGCCAAGTCATCATCTGAATTTTCAGACGAGGTCGGCAATGTCGGGACCTAAAAGTCCCGAGAGAATTTAGCATAATAGTGGGATGGCAGCTACTATGATAATGCAGAACCAGGTCTTTTTTACTTTCGACGAGATCACTTGAGCATCATATCTACCACACGGCTCTGTGCCGCGGCTACAAAAGGCTGTGCCGAGGAAGGGAAAAAGATTTTTGTTCAATAGTTAAAGAAATAGGCTAGTTAAAGTAGTTTCCGTGCAGGAGTCCTAAGACTATGAATAAATAGCACCCTTGGCAATGACCAATATGGTACTCATTTTATTTCTCTGCCACACATAGTTATTTATGGCCGACGTTTAATGAAACGCTCGGTGTAGTGCAGTGCGGGCATTTTGTCCACTGTAAAACGAAAATGGATGAGTGGTCGTGTGTGCAGCCTCCGATGCTCGTCCTGCGTATTTTTAGTCGTGCCACGTAGTGAAGTTTGCAAGTCGAACTATGCATTGGGCGACGTTTCTGTGCACTCGCCTTTTTCTGTAGTCTGTGTAAACATAAGAAACGTAAGACGAACGCTGGGGAGGAGAAAACCACTAATCGTGGTTAGCACGAGAGCTTTGTCAGAGGGACTCGTCCTGCTGTTCTTGACCTGCAACATACCGAAGTTATTTATTTATTTAAGTTCCTCAAGAAACCTGGCGGTCAGGGTATTACATGAGGAAATGGTCTAGTCAAATGGCCGAGTTAACAATTCACGGAATGAATGGATGTCTTGTGTTGAAAGGATGACTTCAGTCAGGCTGTTCCAGTCCACAGATGTCGCCGGGAAAAGAGGGACGAAAGAAATTCTGCTTTTCGAGGGAAAGGAAGGCCAGCCTTTGCATGACATTAAATGCGTGGGAGTATGCGGACGCGGTGAGAAGATGAACGACGGATGCTCTTGGAAAAGAGAATGTTTGGCGATGCCCCCGCAAGCACGCGGAGGGGTCAGCGATACCTTTTGACTCGCAGTGTTCTCGTTGCCTGACAGGAGGACAACCACGACCTCGAGATTGACCTGGACGAACTCCTGGACATGGAGAGCGACCACCGCCGGAGAGACTTCCTCAGGGTGAGGGCTGTGTGTCTTGTTCCTATATTACTACCGCTCGATGGTTTGCCGCCCTGCACGTTCTCCGTACCTTCGTCTATTAGGGCTAGGTTCTTTACTATGTTTAGGCAGAAAAATATTCCAGGTTCTTGATCTCTACAATGATGCTCAGGTGCACGGAGGGCGAGGTGGAATTTATTTCGTGTTTTTTTATGTTTGCTTTTATTAATAATTTGGTTCGAGTTGGCCCCATTTTATTGTATGGACCCAAAATATAGCGGCAGGTGTTTTCCTGCTATAGTTTACCGGGGAAATGGAATTGGTGCGTAACAGACCCTCTTCAAAGTCCGTCGAGCAACACTGGCAGCCGCCATCATTTGGGCACTGCCTCCTGCGCTAAGCGTTTGATTTGATCCGAGCGTGCGCTGAAAACCGACGCAGCATTGGTGTCCAATCCAGTCTGTGCTCAAAATGTGTGCCCAAAATATAGCGGCCTCAGCACAGCCACTGGAGGGCACACACTTTCCTAAAGGGTCTATAATATGCCAATTAAGGTATTCTCATTAAATTTAGCAGGGAGATTGAATTGCTGCATAATTCTGCACCAATTAAGGATTTCCTGCTCGTGTTGGCACGAAAATTGAATTGGGGTATAATTATCAGGGCTGGGTAAAGTATACATCTAAGAAGTACTTGAAGTAAAGCACAAAGTAAAGGAGAGGTCATGTACTTCAACTAAAGTAGTAAGTAGACCGGGCACAATGTATTTGAAGTAAAGTACTATAAATACAATGTACTTTCAGAGTAAAGTATGAGCACTTTTTAACACAATCTTTCATGATGCTCTTTCATTCCACTATGTGCCGAGATATTGCTTGGCGCAATATGGCCAAAGTCACTCTTGCGCCATTAAGCCCCAATCATCATCATCAGCACCCTCTGTGCCGAGAAACTAAGGAAGAGGAGGAGACGAGAGCATGCGAGGACGTCAGAATGCCTCGTCAAACGCGTTAGAACACGGAATGCTGCATCTGGCATTTGGCTTTCGCATTCGAATGTGTTCGACGAGTGCAGTGGAGGCAGATGCAGCCTTTGTCTCAGCTGCACTCGTCGAACGCATTAGAGCTCGGGCCAAACGCCGGCGTTTGCCTCTTGCATTTGAATACGTTCATGAGTGCTGTGGACACTGTGGACACAAAAGCTAGCTTTAGGTAGACCCACCGATCGTTCCAATCAGAACTCGGCATTCGGACGTCCCGGCAGCGCTCTCATTTCCTTCTCTCCTTCAGCTTCCCAACACATAAGGTGTTTGTTTTTTTTGTGTGTGTTTTTTTTAACTGGTATGCATTGCCTTAAAGGCAATCGGGGGTGCATCAGTTATTTTCAGAAATGGCGGCGAATATGGGATAAATTCGAATCTCCACAGAGTGATGTTTTACTCTCACTGACAAAATATTCAGCACAACCACCTTATAAGGCACTTATTTGTTGACAAATCATGAATTTGTGATACAAGTTTAACAAGAAAAAAATTTGGCAGATATACTTTCAAGTTGGGAGTTGTACTTTTTTTGGAAATTACTAGAAAATATACTTCAAGTAAAGTACAAATACATACTCAGGGAATGTACTTCAAGTAAAGACAAGTTTTCTAAACCTTCTTGAAGTAGTACTTTATGTACAATGTACTTGAAGTACTTGCAACACTGATAATTAAATACCAATCCAGGTTTTTGCAGTAAATGTAGCAGGGAAATTATATGTTACACTTTTGCATAATACTTTTTTGGGGGAAGCTTTTTTTATCGGTCCCTAGTCCTAAATACATTCTGTGCGCAAATGTTGGCAAACGCATGCCAAATAATTGGCCGACACGTCGCCAGAATAAAGTAAACACGGAAGCTTTTGTCAATTGTTTGACACAAGCAATCCCTTTATTCCCGATATCTCAGATACTACGCTAGTGGATAGGAATGTGGGCAGTAGTAGTGACAACGCTGCATTTTCAGGGTACATTGTCAGAAAGACTCAAGCTGCCTAAGAAAGTTTGCTTAGGCATATGCTGAAACCTGAGATGGAGACAAGAAAGGAAACACATACCACGCTCTTGCTTTAGAAGCATTAGATGGTCATACCGCCACATCTTTTGTTTGCTTGCCTGCACAGCCACTTGCTTATTTACACCACATTTTCCACCGATTTCACTTCCACTTAAGCAGAACAAACTGACAAGTGTCGGCTTCGTGCGAGATGTAGACTAAGTGTGCCGAGTGGTGTCACAAATAAACTCTGAAAAAACCAGAAACTCTAAATCCGGTGCTATACTCTGTTTCACCTTGCAGAGTGTACTGCAGTGAACCTTATGAATCACGTTTTCCAATCCAGCGCTCCACAAGTGCCACGCAACTTCACGCTCTGCACATTGGCCCACCGAACCGAAAGGTCACGTGACATGCTCCGAGCTATGGATTGGCTCCAGTGGCTCATAACGTCTGGTGCGGTTTATTGCTGAAAGAACAATCTTATTCCAGTCCCTGAGATAATTGCTTTGCACGTCATTAGTATTATTGTTCACGATAGCTCCAGATGCCTGATTAGGCTGTCACCTACTTGCGAACCACAATTGTGGCAGGCCCAGTCGACACATTAGGAACGTGGCTGTCTATTGCAGGCCAAGCTGGTGGGTGCCAAGCAGTCCAGGGATCGAGTCGAGGTGAGGCCTTCCTTCCCATTGGCACCCTTGTCCTGCTCGGGATTCGTTGGGAAAGGGGAGGTCTTCGGAAGCGGATGTTTGAGTCAGAATTCTAAACTGCCTACCTACAAGTAGCTACTTCATTTTGGACCATTACCTATTTTCATTGATTGGTTAAGTGCCCCGACATAGAACTTTTAACCATAATAGTAGTCCTTAAATTGTAAAACCGGCAGTCACTTGTCTGTGCTCTGTATTCATCCAAAGAAACTTCAAACAGTGCTGATCTGAACCAAGCACTTCTTTTTTGTTTTTGTCTCCAGATGTTCATTGAAGAGCTGATGCAGCGAGCAAAGACCCTCTGAAGCAAAGGCCAGGTCTCGACGTTGCGCGCGATGCACTGCCCACTGCCGTCTGCCTACTCGCTTCGAGAGGACATCTTGTCAAACCACTCGTCCCTCCCGGCTACCGCTTAGCCCCAAGCGAGCATTCCGTTGAGCATTTGCACTTCTCGCCGCTTCCTGTCGGAATCTCGGCGGGTGACGAGCTTGCGGCCTAGTACTTGGAAGGCAACCTCCAAGCAACCATTAGGACACCTTCAGGCAACCATCGGGTCACAAGTCACACCTCTGGAAAGGAGCCTTCAGGTCACCTTCAGGCAATCTTCAGGTCATACCAGGAAGGCAACCTTGCCCGTCCTAGTTGTGCCTTGCCCATGGCCTCGAGGCCAAAGTTTGGAGACGTCCCGACGCCGGACTGCACTCAGAATCATAAGGGCGTGTTGCATGCACTCGCCTTCGCGTTGACAAAAAACTTGTTTTTGTTCGCTCTAGAGAGATCTCATCTATGTCGTTTCTACGCATCAATGCTATCCTCGGTTGTGCAAGCGCCGTGCAAGTGCCAGGCGGCATGTGAATTCATTGCACGACACATGCTTCTCCGTGCGAGGGTACAACTAGGGCCACCAAATAAGCTACGCTTAACGCGTCGGCACTTGCTTCCCCGACTGTCTTGCGGGTGTTGCCATTTTGTTAACTAGGGCAGAGCGGGTGCGATCGGTGATATTTACGGCTCTAAAATTCGACTTTCTAAGATTTACATGCAGTATCGGGAAGCTCGGGCGGTAGCATTTCGCTCTGTCATGAACTGTTACAACATTTTTAGAGGACAGAAAAGTGTTTTCCTCGATTTCAGATGGAGCTTCAGACAACTGGCAACGATTGTTTTAACTAGCAAGATGGCCGATCTGTCGTCACACTGAAGCGTGGCTTATTTAGCGGCTGTATGTACAACTTTCTTCCTGCCATGGAGGGAGAGGTGCTACACCGCAAGTCCACTGGGCATTCCTAGCCTCCATGTTGGTGCACTCATTGCACATCCCACTAACACCGCCTAAGTAAGAGAAGACCCGGTCTCTCTTTCTTGGCTTCCATAAAACGTTGTTTGTCCAACCTGTGTGCCGAATTATATCGCAGTAAGACGACGCCGCGACTCAAAAGTGCAGGATTTCTCTCGTAAAAGTGTTGTCGGTACCTATCCTCAACTATAGTGTTTCGAAGGATGGCCATGTGCCGGGTGAACTGCAACGGAAGCTGTCGCCATTTTGGTGTGGCTGCGCTTCGCTCGACGTCCGTTTTACTCATTCGCGACTAACGCCGCTGCGGCACTATGTGCCTGAATTGTGTCTCTGACCAGTGCGTTTACTGCAACCTCAAAAGTGGTTTCTCAGATTCTGCCCAACGACGTCGCAGAAGTGGCACGGAGCCGAAGGTGAAAGCAGAGCCCTTTATACTGGGAGAATTTGGCATTCCTTTGAAGATGCTGACAATCCAGCAACCACAGCTGGAAGTAAGGCAACCAGGAGATGGCGTCTTGCCTCCGCCATTTTGTGTTATCGAATTTCGAACCCACTCTGGATTAGGTACGCGAGGTATGCTGTGACCCACCATTGTATTAAGAGTGTTTATCGCTAATGTAAGTGTTTTTGGTGCTGCTCACATTTTCAGAAGCTCAAACTTACTTATCTGCTACGATCTCTTAAAATTATATGAGCTTAAACTTATTCCTTTTTTGTGAAAAGAGAATTTTAAATACTTTGATTTTGGGTCTCAAAAATGATCACCGCTAAAATTCAGTGCCATGACGGGCGCCATCTAGGAGAGGCACTGCGAACCCTTGCGCTCATTCGCCTGATTAACTTTTTGTTTGAGAAAACCTAATTATGTTTCAAACTAAAAAAAAATGAAGCTTATTTTTGAAGATCAATAAAGGATGGTTAAACATATAAAATAGAGCAAAAAAGACAAGGACAAGAAATATACAGGACAAGCGCTTGTCCTTGTCTTTTTTGTGTTATTTTATATGTTTAACTAAGATGAACCAACTAGCCCAACAACGTACCTTACTAAATAAAGGATGGCCAGTGCTTAAATACAGTGACCAATTGCAGGTATGAAAATATGTCGGAGTACAAAAAATTGTGTTAAACAACTACTAACCGCACATTTGGACTAGCGCACGTAAGTAGAGTGGCCAAAAGCAAAATCCTCCATTTTGTGTTATCATAAAGTCGGCTTGTTTTAGTGGGCGATAGGCTCCGCCCGTCGGTTAAACTCTACCAGTATATAGGGCTCTGAGTGGAGGTAACGGACACCCGTTCTATTGCGGGTCACCGTCCAGCTTGGCAGTTCACGGAAGCTTGATAAATAGCCAAAAGTGATGATGACAACAACACTCACTTTCACTCGCGTGTTTTGCCAAAACTTCCATGACCAATCGCCGGGATTACGACATCAGACGGCTTAGCACGCCAGCGACGCAGTTTGTGGCCATTTCGATACCACTTTCAATGCATGGATGGTGCAGGACACAAGTTTCTGCATAGATTGATGAATGCTAATGGCTGTACCCCTTATAACGGGCGGTAGCTTGCGCCACCTAGCCTAGAAACCGGCGGCCGAAGAAGCGTTCAAGGCACTGCGGCGGCACTGTCGCTCGTCCACTTTGATGGCAGACGTCGAAAAAGGGGACTCCCTCCACTCCCTTGTGGAGCACCGTCGGTTGGCACGCCGAGCACTCTTTTGAGGCACTGCTACATAACTCGACCGCGTGATCTCATAGAATGCGATTCTAGGTCCATCGTCGGAGAGATGGTTGTGTAGTTGCACCATTCTTGTCGTTCTTTTTCAGATGGTGCGATTGTTTGTTGGCGGCCACTTGGCCACGTGGCTCGCTCGTTCGTTAAGAGTCGGTATTGATGGTGCACAAAATATATGCTCCCCCTCGTGGAAGCTGAGTTGAAGTTGAATACGGGGGTATTGCGATGTTGGTACTATGCCACAGGCTGGAACTTTCTGACGAGCGGTGAATGGAAGGCCGACCGTGATGTTTTTACTAATAGTTAGTGTACCAGTTTTTTTTCTTGTAGTCGCCGGCTCGAGTAGAATTTCCGGGACTGATGCCTTAGTGCTTTACGTACAAGTTATAGGCTCTCGTCGCAAACAACTTTTACATTCTAGTACAGCTCGGTAGACCTTTTCGGAAATGCGTAGTGCCCCCAACCCCCCCCCCCCCCCCCCAACGCGTGGCAACGTTCTGATGTACGGCACATAGGACTATTCAGAATTGAAGGTGAAGTTGACGTTGGTTTTACATTTTGCGATTTCAGAATGCGGAGAAGGTAGAAAAAAAGCAAAACAACATGTGCGATGACTTTCTCCTGTGTTTGCTTTATTTTTGTGCGTTCCGAGCTCGTAACATAAAAGGGACATAATTATGCCTCTTCGAGGATATAGGGCGTTTTTACCGACTTAATTTTGTCCATTTTGTTGTTACGAGCTGTCCAGCACATGCTGAAGGCGGGTCTTCCAGAGATTCACAAAACGCCCCCAAATCAAGAGTGCACAAAAGCTTGCAAGTTTCATCACGCCTTTCTTTTTTTGACAAATAAAACATTTTCTCATTCACTCACTCCAACAACAAAATGGCGGATTGATGTCATGTGAAAACGCCCTATACGAAGTGGTGAGGTCGGCACAAGCCCTAGTTTCCCTTGCCGCGAGGTCTTCTGAGATTTTTCGGAAAGGTCCATTACCTTGACTGTAAATCTTTGCATCAGCTCGAAATGTGGAGTGATCGAAGGTGGTTCATTGAACGTCGATACCAAGGTGGTCATTTTGGGTAGCCGATTTCATTTGTTTCTTTTCAGTGTATGTGAAAGCAAAGGATGATGCACACAACATAGCGGGGTTGGCATCGTCAAGCAATTGGCATTTTTTACTGTCTTACTCTTTCAAGTGAGTGTCTGTAATCTAAACAAAGATAATGAAGAAAGTATTTATTATCCGAGATGCCCAACAAATATTGGTATTGGTCAGTATTCTGTCGGAGAAAAACGTGAAAATGTACCGACATGTTCAGACTAAGTGCATCGTGCAGTGAACATTGCCCGCTTTCTACTTTTTCTTGCTTTCATCTCTCACATTCCCTTCTTCCCGCTCTCCCAAGAACTTTGTGGAAAATCAGTTTTTAAGCCACTTTTACTTGCAGCTATGCGAGGACAAATTATGATGTTAGCAAGGCCACCTGGGCTGGAGAATTGGAGATTATATGTTTACTGGGTGCTTCATTCGGTCACTCCACTACTTTCTAAATCTATGGGTTATTTATGCGGTTAGCAAAAGGCAAGTGTGTACAGCACTGTTTATGAAGATCTAGTATGCAACTTTTAGTACTTGCTTTAGCTTTGTTCTCAAATACCCCCCAAACTGTGCGACAAACAAATGATGAAAATCGCACGTCAAGTCGCTTTCACATTCGCTTTAAAAGTAAAAATGACGAGCCACTCGCTGGGAACTGTTATTGAGAGAAGTAGCATATCTGCACGACCTTCGACGCTTCCTTTTTTTCAAAATGATGGCGACCAAGGAATGGGGTACTTGTATTAAGGCATACTGCTTACATCAGGGTACTTAAAATTGTTTTAAGATATTACATCGCTGTTTCACCCTCGAAGTCGACCCACCCGCAGAAGCTCCGGTTGTTTTCATCTCCGTTTATTTATTTGCAAGGTCACCTACTTCACGCGCGACAATGTACAAAGGATGCCGGTTCATTATCCCACAGCAAAGACTGCGCTGCGGGAAATAAAAGTCTCTCTGCACCAAAGGCCTCGGCGTCGTCTCACTCGCCGACTAAAGTTTGGGGGGCTTCTTGAGGTACTCCGCGATGTCGATGAGGGGCTTGCCGAAGTCGATCTTGAGCCGCGTGCGTCCAAAGTAGTTGTTGAGCTCCTGCCAACGCTCCTTTGGCACGTGCTCGTCTTTGTGCATCAGTCCTGCGGCGACGTGGGATCGGCGAAACGTTGGTCACAGGGTGATGGAATGGCCCTGGCTAGAGCCACTTGGTAAGCTATGCTCAGAGTTGGAATTCTCTAAAAGTATGAGGAAACCATTTTTGGTAGACAAAATGCACATACTAAAGAATGTTTTGGCTCGTAGGTATGCGTCGACGGATGGCTCAAGCTCGCTAAGATAGACCTGGAAAAATGCTTTGCTTGAATGAGGGACGGTTGAGAAAATTTGGGAGTATGGGGAGGGAACCCGTGAGGGCACTGGGAAACGCCTGGGTTGCCCAGTTTGAGAGCCTGTGGCCGAGAATATTGACGATTCGTTCCCTACCGATTGTCTCGGGGCGCCGCCATTTTGTTGCCTGTGGCAGAGAGGGTGTGAAAAGCGTTTCCTGCAATATCAGATGAAGCTTTGGGCAACTGGCAACAAACAAGGTAGTGTCGCCACCCTGAAGCATAGCCTACTTAGTGGCTTAAGCTCGTCCCATTAACACTACAGGGTGCCCATATCTGTCGCAATAAGTTGGGTGTATTTTGTGTGCCCGTAAGCACGGAGTACACCCAACTTTGACCTTTCGAAAAGCCTCCGACACTCCTTCTTTTAGAGCGCAGCTCTTAGGTGCCCGTTTCTGGGTTTCGCGGCATTGCCATCGGCGTCAACGTGACCCGTTAAATTTAGCGGGAAAATTGATGTCACGTGACCTCAACACCAATTTAATTTCCTGCTAAATTTAGTGGGGAAAATGATGTCACATGTCTTAGTGTTACGTCACCTATGAAAAAATTCAGTTTCTCCGCTACATTAGGCGGCAAAATTCACGTCACGCGACCTCAACAGCAATTCAATTCCCCGCTAAATTTAGTGGGGAAAGGGGAGCTTGAAGAGGAGCAGGGGAGGAGGATGGGCATACCCTCCCCCCCTCCTCAAGAGCTGCACTCTAATTTCAGGTTACAGAGATTTGTAAACAGCTTTCATTTTTTTTTTTTCTTGGCAAAGCCGTACAACAGGGATCTTCAATCTTTTTGATCCCGGTGAATAGGTACTATAGTTGGCGACAAGTTGAGAGTTTCGTGGAAGCTCTCTTTACCCCTTTCCACTTCAGCAAAGCGTACACTGGAGAGGAGGTTGCCTCCTCTCCAGCATTCGTTCTGCTAAATTGGAAAGAGGTGCGAGTTTCCCCTGATTGCTTAACCTGTCCCCGACTAGAATCTGCTTTTAATTACTGCTGAGAACCGCACTCAGTCACAAATCGAATAAGGTTGCATACGCTAGTCCAGAGAGCGCAAGTGAATCAAATGTGTCGCTATGCCTCTTGTAAACAATACGTACACTCCATTTTTTTACTAACCCTCAAAGCACGATAGCCATCTGATCCTAAGTGTGCAGCTTCCATTGTCGGTTACGCCAACTGCACCACAGTCTAGAAAGACTGGTGCAGTTGTGGACTTTAGTTGTGGACTCCACGAATGGACGTGTACTAGGACTCAAAGAGTTGGGGGGATACCTAAAGGCTGATGTGCACATTTGCATTTCAGTGCGACTAGGCGCGTTGTGACCACCTCCGAATGCTTACAACGAGATGGCACAATGGCACCATCTATTGAATAGCCTTGGAACACTTCTGATCTGCGTATATTTCCAAATTTTTTACACATCGTTCTTTCACGGTGGGCTCAAACTCTAACAATGTTATTGTCTAGTTATTCGCAGACCACATGAGAGGGCTACCGACAGATGGCGCCAGCGTGTCGTCGTAAGCAGCTGCAAGCAGCAGGAAAGGTGATCGATCGCGCTCAAAGGCAAGTGCGCAAACCAGCCTTCGGTGGCCAGTACGGTGCGTAGGCTCGGCGGGGCCGCGTCAGCTGCACTCACCCGTCCTCTGCGCCTCATACACCAGCCTTCCGACGAGCCTGTGCTGCTTCAGGCACAGTCCTGTGACCGAGGTTGGCAGCAGGTTGCCCTTGGAGTCCACAAACTGGCTCAGGATGAGCACGTCCTGGAGAGAGACGGTTCCACGGGATACTTGAGCCTTCCAGCATCCCCAAATGGTCCTCAAAGCAATTCCGCCAAATCCTTCCCAAAATCTAAAATTCGGCGCTTCGACGTATTTTGTTGATTTTTTCTCTGAATGCGCATGCCATCTGCCTTATTTAATGGACGAAATTCCACGACAGACCTCTTTTCTTTAGTAAGCGGAAATCGACGGAGATGTTGGCGCTGTCTTTGCACTACCCGCTATTTCAAACTTCCTACGATTTCCAAACCTCCAAACTTGCCACGTTTTCAAATGGCAACCGGCCGTCTAAAATTCCAGGGGTTTCTTTCTACTTCCTTATAGAGCCAAAGGTATGCTTCTAAATTTTAATGGCACGTATAATACAACTGCCTCGATCCCTGGGTCTATCTTGCCGCATTGCTAAATGTTCAGGATACAGGAAGTGCATCTATCTGTCGCTCATCAAGGGAGAGCTCATGGGACAAGCCACTGTGCGAGAGATACGTAGTATGCCATAAAAGTCACCGACAGGATAAGCACGGCAAAGACGTCTTTCGCTTGCCCCGCCTCCAGCCCGAGATTCCTTTCGTGACGCTTGGGTGTTTCGTGAGCTCCTGGAAGCATGTCAAAAATCAACGAGCACGCGCTGCAGGCCAGGCATCCCAAAGACACGCCCTGCCGGCCTCCGTCGTGACCCAAGAGGGATAAGGGGCTTTAACTCTGTGTGCAGGCTTCACTTTAGCCCAAAAGCAAAATTTAGAAGTTTTCAGTGCCAAGCCGACGAAGGCATCTGGCTGCTTTGGCGGAGGACCGAGGATTAATTAGGACTGCTCGGGGATATCTGGAAGTGCGACCGAAATCCCCGCAACGGGCCTCCGTCGGATTGGGGGGCACCTCGGTCAGGATTCGAACCTGCCACCCACCGAGGGGGCCGCTTGACTTTACCGCAGAGAGTACCTCTTTGGCATGAAATCTAACTTCCGTGCGTTTTGGCCGATCGAAAGAATATTTGAAATCTGAAGTCGTCTGTCATTTTTTTCTTCTATTGTCCTGGGTCTTGAGTACGCCAGGTTGCTCGCATTTTCACCCTTTCTTCAAATGACAATGTTCCAATTTCTGTGTATACAAGAGCGGCAGAGCGTCGCCCCCTCTTGGTAAACATCTTTTTTTACGGATCTAGAATCTTTTTTAGAGAGAAAATATGTACCCAAAAGCTCAAATTGTATTCTCGAGAAGTTAACCCGTTTCAATCGAAGTGACGAGCACGCTGAAGATTAAATTGATTTCCCGTAAAAGTAATCTCGAAAGAATACCACTTGCAGATATGTCGACTGTAGTCTCCTGCCGAATATAGCCTACATGTGCGAGTGCTCGCCAGCCTCCTAAAGCAAGAGTCGAGGTGGACTGTTTCACATTCTTGAACTCTGGTGCACAGCAATTGCTGGCATAGTACCCGGGAAATAACAATACTAGTCTAGCTGTCGCAAAGGGTGTTCTGGCCACTTGGGAGCAAAGTGACGACTACAATCTGATCACTACACTTGTTTTCACCTAAAAAAAAAATCATTTTGGCGTTCGAAGCGTGGAAGTCTTGATAAGATGATGCGTATCTAATGTAAAATGCACCTACATGTATCTTGATTCTCTACTTAAAAGAGGGAATTAGTAATGATCCGCGATGGAGCCGGACTGTTTTTGCTACGGTTCTCGAGGTGAAAACGAGTATGGTTGGTTTTGAAATTACACGCTCTCGTGCGGAATGGCTCGCATCTGCGGAGGCTTTACATTGTGTGAAGTCAAATGGGCGGTGCTTACGTTGCAGTCAGAATCCTTCATTTTCGGAATAATTAATGCTGCGCGGTGGAAAATTGGGTTATAGGATTCCCAGTATAAAACAATGTGTGCCATTACAAACGAGAGGGAAGAAGCTTCTTTGAATTAACCTGGAAACTAGAGACAAACCACATTAAAAAGATACCTCAATGAAATTCGAAATATACCCATCGGTTCAGAAATAGGCTGAAAATGACCCACAATATCCATAAAGGACAATCACACGTTTGTATTTTGAGCCCGATGGCTGTATTTTTCGTTATAAACGGCCCACTCTGGCAAGTGCTTAGAGAGCACGTCACATCCGAAGCAATCGTGACATAGTTTGTCTCGGGATGAGCGCTGCAGCAAGGCTGACGTCATTGGGATGCCCTAGCCGTTCTAGCTACCGAAGCGGTAGAAGCACACCGATGATCGGGGCACCGCAACTAACCGCAAATCTGCTTTTGTGTGAATTTTGAGTGACGGGTTAATCTTCTATAATTTTGTAGAGGGAGAATAGCGATGTCTGGGCCCCACAAAAGAGAGTCCAGTTAAGTGGGGAGTTCCTCCCTCCCCTCTTCTCATGTGATGGCCATAGAGCTGTCGGGATGACATCAGGTTCAGGCGAGACAGGTTGGATGGATGGATGGGATGGATAGTAAAGGCTGTACCCTTTCTAACGGGCGGCAGCTTGAGCCACCTAACCTAACATTCATCATCCCTTCTTTTTTTTTAAATTTGTACAAATTTTGTTCTAACACAACCCTCCTCCCTTTAAAGTGTTCCCATTGCTTATATTTTTATCTCTATTTTCACCCCTCCCTAGATCTTTTCCACCAATCTTCCAAACACCTCTTAGTTACCGCAATCTTTCGCTGTGCATTCGTCCATCCATGTCTGCAAATCCCAGTGCCCCCTTCAAACCCATAGATTGCATATGTCGCATTGAGTGTCTACTTCCTGGAATTTATCCCTATATGTTTTCATTTTAGCAGCCCCATTCTAGTTTCAAACAGCAATGAGCTCCTTAAAGGGGTTATGACACGCCAAAAATAAAATATTACATTACTATTCAGCTAGGACCCATTGTATGTTCCTATAATCCTGCTAAATTTGTTTTAAAAAAGGCGCGATAATTTCGTGGATAAATCGATTTATATGCGGACCCCTCGGAGGGGCAGATCCAGGCGGACCTGGAGGCTGATGACGTAGCCAGCCTCCAGCATGGTGTCTACTTGCACGCACTCACAGACTCGGCTCTTCTTGGCATATCAACTCTCAGCTTCCTCGTTTACCTTCCACGTTTCCAGCATCCGGTCTGTGACGATTACGTCTACGGCATCGATCGCCTTGTCGAAGTGTTCGACATTGATCGCAGCAGCGATGAGAGTGATTGCTATCCAGAGATGTTGGAAGCTGTTCATTTTGACTGCGACCCGCTGGCGACGAGCTCCAGCGACGACGAGTTCGCCGTGGTCACTGTCGTCCGGGAATATCTCGCAGGCGCATGCAGGGTAGAAGGTCAACCGGCCAGGGGGCGAGAGCGAGAATAGCTTACAGTTTACCGAGCTGTTTGAGCGGTTTTGTTCGTACCGCGACGAAAAGAGCTTGGGCGATTATGGGGCGCCTAGAATGAGAGAGTGTTCATGGTCACGTGGTTTATGGACACCATGGTGTGACTAACTTGAGCAGTGTTGCCTGGTCGCCAGATGAAAATAATAAAAATTTGTAAATTGAATATTGCAATTATCAGAGCTCTAAAAATTGCATAACTTGGTGTATATACTAAGTAGCCTATGAGCATTCCATTTCAAGAATAATCTATCCGTTTAATTTTCGTGTCATAACCCCTTTAATGAATTATCATACAACTGTTCCTTCTTTATTTCTTGTTTTTGTGCCCTGTATATCGTTAAAACTGATTTCCCTTGCATTCTCTCTTCCCACAACTTCCTCTCAGTTTCCTTTATTCCCTTTTCTACTGATATACTCTGATCGGCCCCATCTCGTTGATTGTATTTAGACCTCAGCTTTCGGATTCGGTTTGTCCACTTAGTGTTTAGACTTTTCATATGTACACTTTCCCTGCCCACCTTGACCGGTATCGTCACTATCTGTCAAGGTTCCTAGACGGGCATTACAAACGAGGCTTCAGCAACATTGACCAGGTGCTCTTTGCTAATAGTTTAATTCGTTTTAGAATTCTTTTTCGTGTCTTTTTCAGCAAGAGAGTGGTGTGTCTGATGTGATACTGCTACCTTGAACTCGAATAGACCAAGAAATAAGCGCCGAAATTTCGTTGTAGTATCTGTTTAAAAAGAACAAGTTTTGGATTTATTTTGCACGTCTTCTTTTAGGCAGATATGGATAGAGAAGAATAACCTTTATCGGCTCAGGACGAGATGTAGGACAAACTCGAAAGAGTAAAGCTATACGCACTCCGGAGTGCGCTTCGGACGGAAATGGCTATACGCACTCCGCTTTTCTCGTATAAAAAGAGTGGACACAACGAGTTTCCTAAGCGGTGCCATGGCGTAGTGGTTAGGGTGTCCGCTTCATACGCAAGTGGACGCGGGTTCGATCCGCGGTGGGCCTACGTTTTTTTTTCTTTTTTTTTCTAAACATTTTGTTTTGTTGAGGCATTTGGCGATATTTACGACATTTCCTTTTTTTGCAATGAACAGTAAAAAAAAAAAAAAAAAAAAAAATCGAATGTTGTCGAGAAACTTTGCAGAACTAAATGGTATCGGACTCCCTTTCCGGAGGTGCGATCGGGGACAGCGGGGCTTGGATTGCCGGCTGGACGCCGCGAAGCGGCGTGTACTGGTTACGCTTATAGCATCCTCGATCATCCGCACCGGTGCGCACCGGGGCACTGAGGTGCGCCCCTTCATCTTCGATCAAGTTCACCGGTGCGCACCGTACGTCCTCGATCAACGAAGCGCACCCTCCCGGTGCGGCTTTTCGTTGCCCCAACGTGCACCAAGAAAATCGGCGGTGCGCCGGGGTGCAGTCCCATCAGGCATTGCGGCCGGGAGCGGGAATCGAGAAGATGGCGGGAGTAGCAGACGCGCAGACTATCGAGATGGCGATCTTGCAAAAACGAACACGCCTTGCAGCTGCACTAGATGATTTCCTCGGGTCTTCTGACGGCGAGACGACGAGCTTCTCACCATCGCCGCGAT